CGCTCCCGGACCGAAGCAGCCGGGCGCTCGCCGCGCCGCCAGAGGGTCTCGCGTGTCTCGGCGACCTCGAGCTCGCAACGTCCGCGATCCCGTCACGCTACCGCAGAATGGCCGGAGAACGCGTATCGGCGACTTACCGCCGGTCACCACCTGAATGTGCACTGCCGCGTACCTATTACCTCGAAACCCCACATGTCGCCTCTCCTTGTCCGCTGTCCTCAGCCAGGGGGGAAACTTTTGGACGGTTTCACTTCGGGGGACAACAACAGCGCAACACGCGTGCGGCTCTCGTCAGGCCTCTCCACGCAGAGGACACCAATCTCGCCGTTCCACTGCGCGGAGCTGCGCGTGTTTCTGTCTTGACCCCCGGGTCCAGCCAACCAATCAAGATCCCAATACTGTTTCTGACTTCCAGTCCTCTGGCCGGTGTGGCGCCCACCGCCTCGCCACCCAGCTCCTTTTCCGCGGCTTCCTGCACGGGAGGCGCGACCACCACGTCGTCTAAGATCGGTTCAACCGGTTCTGCCGTTTTGTCAGATTTGTCGACCGGTTGAAAGACGTTGGATGGGACGAAGTCGTCCCCCGCGAAGCGCGTCGCATACGACAAAAGTCCTTCCAGATCACCGATGGTAGGTTCCTCGTCGATGTCGTCTATTCGTTTAAGTTCTTCCTCCATAATCTCGTACTCGACGTTGCTTATTATCTTCCCCAAGATTTGCATGATGGTTGTTTCCATTTCCTTTTCTTCGTTATGCGATGCAGCCATTTTTTAGTTCAGGTTTTTTTTTTTTGTCCGCGTAAGGTGTCAGATTATATACTCAGATGAGTTGCAAATGTGCCGATTTCGGTATTTATTCCTGGGCCGTCGACGATGATTTAAAACAAACATCGTTTATTAGTAGCCAGCACATTATTATATTAATCGACCGGCATCAGCTGGATTTCGGGCCCGTTAATTTTTCCAAATGCCATTATTACGACTATTATTGGTATACCGACTCTAACTGTATATACTTACGCAGAGTTACACTATAATAATTGTATTATAATATTTTAACGAGGATTTATATGTCGATCTGCATTATATTATTATACTGTCGTATATATATACTCGTTTTATACTTTTGTAGGTAGGTACCTATAAGATTTTTAGATTCAGAACGGAACGCGACCAATGCGTATTGCGATTTTACAATTATTGTTTTTTGTGTATGTGTTGGGGACTTGGGGTGTACCTATAATGCGTTTTATAGTAGAAAAAATGCTTTGATCTACAACGTTGGGGATGATTTCAGATCAAGTTGCATCTAGTTATGGTAAAGGGTATTTTAAAGGGCGAAATCGCAGAAAATTAAAAGTTCTTTTCTTAATAATAATATTAGGAAAAACGACAAAAAAATGAGGGAACATTTTTTACGAGCATCTTCCATATTATATATTGCGTAATTTTCAAATGGCTATTTTAGAAGTTTTTAATTTTCTATTTTAGGTTCTGACGATCTCTTAACTTAATTATTCTAATCACTATACTGTTTTTTAAATAAAAATGTGTTTGTAATTATTTTGTAATTACGAGTATTTAAAGTTATTATTTGACTCAAGATTAAAGAAAATGTTATTGGAATGAATCACCTTAATAGTATTAAATAAAATATTATTTAAACTTACTATTGACTATAAACTATAAAGCATTAAATATTTTAATACCTACCTATGCTAATATTGTTTTATAATATATTATTAATAATTTCTCATTTAATTATATATATTAATCACATATTTGTGAAAAAAAAACATCTTAAATATTGGTATAGTTTCATTTCAGCTTGATTTTTGTTAATATTTATGGATTTTTAAATAAAAAATTAAAAGCAAAACTTTCCTCTTGTGTGAGTGAATGTCACAGTTTATTGAGGCACGTCATCCGCTCTTTACTTCGCATATATCGTATACTATAGTTCTCCACTTCTTATTAGCTGTCAATCGTATACATGCATATATAACATAGAACAAAATCAACTGATCTCAAGTGGAGAACAATGACATTAGCCGGAAGTGAAGGAGATGCGCATACTGTCCAAAACTAGTACTACGCTGTGATGATACCTATCTATAATATAGATATAATAATATGTCATCGGAAAGACCAGGAGTCATTATTGTAGATAAAAAAATTAAAATACCATGTAATTATTACTAATAAGTAATAAATATTGCCCTATAACCTTTTGTCAAAACGTTAATATCCAAATACCCGATTACATGATTATCAGATACCACTATGACCATGCTTAGTTGTATACCTATTATCCAATTTCGTTCAAAATTTGAGACTAAAATATATTCTATAAAAAAAACTGAGTTTTTAATTTTTTTTTAGATTTTTTGGTTACAGTATGAACTACTTATGAGAAATCTTTTATTACATTTTCAATCCTTAGCTATAAAAATAAAACATTTTATACATTTTTTAATTCAAATTTAATTTCAAATTTTCGTGATTTTGTTAAAATTTGAACTTTAGAGTTCATACACTCTTAAAAAAAATATACCCCAATTTTTTTTTTTCATTATATAGGTAGATTTTGAGGAACCTCTTATTACATTCTCAAGTTTTTTGACTAATTTTTATTGACTCATTTCAAAAAAAAAATTTCAAAATCTAAAATTTAAAATATCTATAATCATATACATATATAAACATCATTGTAAATAAAAAAAAAGATGTAAAATCAGTAAATTTTTCTGTTTATGTCTAAAATAAAAAGGTGGCCAAGTGGGTGTTGCTTCGCTGACTGCTGTACTGTAGTACAGGAGGTTACAAGACACTAAAATGGATGGTGTTAAATTTGAATTCAATGATATAATATCATATTGTATAAGAAAAACGATTCTGAACGAAAACGGTCGGTCAGCCTCTGATATTATGTAGGAACTAAGTATATTTGATGATATTATTGTGAATAAAGTAATTTATATAATATAACCTATTTACGTGAAACCTTGAATCCTAAGCTATAAAAGTTGAACATTTTATAAATGTTTAACTACAAAATAGTAGTTAAATTTTAAATTTGATAAATTATGTCAAAATTCGAACCTCAAATGCTTATAAATTATAATATACCTATTTATAATATTAATATGTATCTAGAGTTATTCGTTTTTGAATGACGAAACCGCTACATGAGAAATCGAGTGAATATCCAATATTGTAAAAATATGAACTTCAAACGCTCATATAAAAATTAATAATCCGTATTTTGACACACTTTAGGATACATGCATTTTTTAATGGTAACTTTTAGGGGCTGTAATATTATGCAGTGCCTCGGGTTACATAATGCAAGGCTCCTGATATATTGTTACAATTGCAGTTGAAAAATATAAAAAATACATAGTCACAATTTTTTTTTATAAGCATTTAAAGTACGAATTTTGACAAAATCTATCAAATTTATCAAATTTAAAATTTAATAATTATTTTGTAGTTAAACATTTCTAAAATGTTCAACTTTTATAGCTAAGGATTGAAAATTTAAAACAACATTTCACATAAATAGGTTATATATAAATTACTAAAAAAACACACTTTATTGTAAAATCAATACATACACCGCTATTAAAATTATAAGTGCCTAAATATAATAGCTTATTTTTAAAATACTTTTGTTTTATGTGCTAACAAATGATACTGAAATATATTGATATTATTAAGATTTTCTATCCGACAATATTCGTTTTTCATATGTACCTAATTTCGATAAATAAATTAAATGAGCAACATAAGATTGAAGACTCAATGAAGGGTAGGTACTTTTCCGTTATCCCGACTACCGCGACTGGCGCGACTTACCATAGACGCAACTAGAGGCCAAACACTGGGGGTGCTAAAATTATGTAGAGAACACAGACCCCCACACCCCCAAATAGCATACTTCGATTTTATAATTAGGTACTATAACCATTCCTAAATGTACCGTAAACACATAAGGACACTAATATTTAAGTAAATCAACAGTAATATACCAGATAAATACATAAAGTATATTATATTATTTAGGTGATAAAAATAGTAACCTGGAAGTATAAACGGATAAAAAAATGTGGTCAAGTAGGTACCGTTTTGCTGTACAGTAGTTTTTGAGCATGTCGTTGAAATGGGTGTTATATTTGAATTCAATTTGAAAAATGTTCTCAAGGCTATAAATAGTTCATAAAGAGTTGAAATAGAACTAGTTGAATTGAACTAGTTCTATTTGGTGAACGATGAACTAACGAACTAGTTCACCTAAGTGAATGACAAGTTCCATCACTATAATGAATCGTTATTCGTTTATCGTTACTTACTAGCTAGTGGATACTTACTTTCGTATCTACCTGCATGGCATATTGCATAACCATAGAACATACAAATATATAATTATGACTACTATTGACTAGAGAGCCTTGATATAGATAGACTTTATCTATATATCAAGGCTCTCTAATTATGACCATAATATCATAGAACCATAGACATATAATAGAATAATAATATGTCTATGCATAGAACAATAATATAGTGATAGCACCATTGACATAATTTATATTATGTCAATGGATAGCACGAAGTGTAGAGAAGAGTCTGTGATAGTATTGTTCTGTGGTGATAGTGTCCGACCTGTGTGATTTTTATTTTTTATCCTTATCATTCCGGGAAGACTGTGATATCATGCGATCATCGTCAGTCGTCACTCCGGTTAGGCCTCGGAATTCGGCTAAGATTTATAATAATTATAATATATTTTATAGACTTATAGTATTAGATTATGATCCAAGATAATAACATATAATACATCATATATGACTGTAACAGTTACAGTTACTGTCTTTAATCCTCATGAGAAATTATTGAGCAGGCTGTATCAACAACAACACCAGTCTGCAGGTTCACTTTTTATGAACTTAGCAGACTTGATAACTTACAAAACGATTACTATTACCATAGAAAACGTGAAATGGACACAGATCATAATGACAATATTGCACAGGTGACATATCAATTTATTTAAAATTTATGCCTAATTTTTTTATAAAATATTTAATTGTGTAATCTATATTATCAGAAAAAAATTGAGGATGTAAAAAAAAATGAAATTGTACAACCTGTTCAAAAACAAATAGATGAGTTTAAATCACACTATTTGCAACATTTTGATCCAATCTGTTGTTTGGGAAAAGGAGGTTTCGGGATTGTATTTGCGGCTAAAGATAAATTAATTGACAAAAATTATGCTATTAAAAGGATACCTTTTCCATAGCGGTAAGATGATACAAATATATAATATAATTAGAGCACAGATTTTTACGCAATTGCATATTATTGGGTTTTTTGAGTAATGTTCATGACTCATAAAACTTTCAACCTAATTCAAAAAATTTATTTTTTGATATATTTACAAAATTTAAAGTTTATTGTATATTGAAGTAAAATTGAATTATTTTACTACATAATAAATGCCATAATATTATGATTTTTATTTTTTAAAAATATGTGCTCTATAGATTACTAAAATAATTAAAGAACTATGCTCCAAACTAAAGAAGAGCTCACTGGTCAGTGATCTGTTTCCATCTGACGTAGCACATCTCCCACATACAGGCAAAGGTGGTGACCAGTACAAAAGGAAATAACTGTGTAGAACCGTTGGGCTTTTATTTGGTACTGAGTATAGGGACTCAGTAGCTTATCAAATTCAATTAAAAATAATAGTAATAATAATATACATAGGCGTGTTCAGACTTTGGTGGCCTAGGGAGCACAACAAATTTTTAAATTGTGAGACCTATTTTTTTTTTTAGACATGGAAAAACATTCATTACATTGTCAAAACAATAAAAATGCTTTTTCCCATCCATTATACAAGGTAAACAACATACAAATTGTAAAACTATTAACTAATCAGTAATAAATATTTTTAGTTTCTAACAAAATTTAAATTATTTTAACAAGTCGTAAAATATCTAAACATATTTTTGAAATGATAATCGGTAATTGGATATTTGATCACAGGTTAGACACAATTTTCAGTTCAAGACCTGTTAGATGGGCACAACAGTACTATGTTATGTACCTAGTTATAAAGAATTGGTGAACATCATATTATACCTATGGTAATATAATCACTAATTAATGATGGGTAACTAAAAAAATTACAATTAATCAAAATCTGTAGGTACTGCAGGTTACACACGGCACAACTTTTTTTTTATCCTGGCATTATTTTGTTGGTGACACAGTCTACCGGGGCCCCTCCCGTTGACACGCCTATGATAATATTTATGTACTTAATAATGTATGTGCATAAATTTGTTTTTTTATTTTATTTATTTATAATAGACAAGGATCTAGAGACCAAGTATTGCATGAAGTTAAAGCATTAGCAGAGTTAGAACATGAATATATTGTAAAGTATTTCAATGCTTGGATAGAAGAACCTCCTAGAAGTTAGCAAGAAGAACAGGATAAAAAGTGAATGCCAAAATCTGAGTAAATAAAATAAAAATTATAATTTATCAATTTAACAATCTAGTGTAAAGTAAAAGTAAGGTAAACCAAAAACCATTTATCTTACAATAATTTTTAAATACCTATATAAGCAAAGGCCCAAGTTTTTGGGGGGGACTCAAGCCCCCTCCCCATAGGCTATATTGCTTAGTACTAAGAATATAAAAATTAGTACTAATTACTAGATTTTGAACTGGGGGGACTAAGTCTCCCCCCTGTTTATGCCAATGTATATAAGTAATGTATTACACTAATCTATCAGTAAATCAGTTGAATCTAATCATATTGAATACTTCTACCTGTGAAATTTCATATACTTAACACTTTATATTTAAATATAGTTATATCATGCCATTTAAATATTGAAAATATGTTTATTAAAGAAATTATACAGAAAAAACTTATACTAGAAAAAAAATTAACGTTAACATACTATTACAGAATATATTATATTGAATACACCAATAATCAAAAATTGTTTTTACCATGATATTTAATGATACTTCATAGTTCAAGTCACAACTTACTTCAATAAGCCTTAATTCCAATAATACATTTTAAAAATTCAAGTTTTTTGGTGGAAAGCAAAATGGTACCTGTGTTACCCTTAAAAAAAGAATGTGGTAGTAAAAGCAGCCCTTGTGACGTCAATGTGCTTACAGACACAGTAGTCTTTGCAAGGGTAGTCTAGACTCTGCATTTAATTAATAACTAACTATTTTGATGATAAGTTTATTGATAAACATCTGCATATTCTTAATGTAGCATTGGCAGTTGGCAAATAAAAACAATTATTTATTTAAGTATTTATTTATTTTGTAATATTTCTATTGAAATATTTTACTATTTCGCCATTAGATTTTTTTATTAAAACTTAAAGAATTTCAAATTTATTTATTTTATAATTTAAACAACTTATCTAGTAATTAGTAAATAACTATAATTTATTTTATTTTAGCCTTCAAATATATTTTCTTCATTGGATAACAAAATCAAAATAGGCGATTTTGGTTTAGTTACAAAAATGATAAATTCTGATCCAGAGGCTGAATACGATGATAAACAACATACTGATCAAGTGGGTACACAATTCTATATGAGTCCAGAACAGGTAAATAATGTTAAATTAATGTAGGAATACCTAATTATTTTTAAACAAATTCTACAGATGATACAAGGAAATTCATATGATTTTAAAGTAGATATATATTCCCTTGGCATTATATTTTTTGAATTGCTCAATTCTTTTACTACTGAAATGGAAAGATACAAAACATTAGAGATCCTTAGAGAAGGTACAATGCCTAGTCAATTTTTGAAAATGTATAAAGATAAAACTGAAGTAAGTCAATACGTTTAAAATTAAATAAAAATAATTTGTTAACTAAAAATATTAATGATTATTTTTGTTTTTAGGCAGAATTGGTGGAAAACATGTTATCGCATGATCCAAAAAAACGTTTCTCTGCAACTCGTATTTTTTGTTTTCTCATGAACTGTGACACGTTTGATTTAAAAAATAGCCGGATACATTTGTTAAATTATTTTTATTCAGATGATTATCCAATTGAACATATGTTTGATAGAAAAAATTAGCAAAGTAATGGAATTTCAATAAAACACATAATATACAATTACTTAGACTCTTTTTTAAATCCTTATTTTTGCTTATGTACAGATGTAGTTATGTAACCACGTAGATACTAAATATATACGCTTAAGGGGGCTGGAGCGTAATGCATACTAAGGAGTAAAAACTAGGCATTTTATATTTCAGTTTATATAGGTGTTGTGAATTTGTTGAGAGTAAATGAACATTAGTGTGTATATTATTTCGTAGCACTGATCACGTTGTATAGGGGCATCATAGTGACCGGATAGTACGTCTGTCATTTTACCCACGTGCATGCACATGTCACCACATATTACTTTATAAAATTACTAACATTTTTTTTCAAAAAATACTACCAGTGACTTCAATCACTACGCTCAGTAGGATATTCCAATTTAAATTTTGATAGCAAATTTGAATTCTCCCCTAAATTTATTATGCTTTAACTGTTGTACATTTTTCATATTCTATATGAATGTATTTGAATTATGAATATGATCTATTTTTACTCTTTTTGTTAGTAAATTTCTAAGTAAAAGAAAATAAAAATCAAAAAAATGAAATTGTCAAAAAATAGATAACTTTGGGTCAAATTCAAATCTGCTTTCAAAATTAATATTAGAACATTTGATTGAAGTCATGAGCTATGTTTTAGACCGAAAATTAATCACGCTCCAGTCCCCTTAATAATTGTACATTTTGTACAGTGCCAAAAATTACTATAGGAGGTATATATGTAGTATGTACATAATATGTTATAATATTATTTATTTAATACATTTTATACTTATTTATTATTTTTTTTTTTTTAAGTGTAACTTCTTAGTGGACTTTTGATATGTAAACGTTTAATGCTACTAAGGAGCATGGACGTCGTATACCTGCTAAGCAACTGTAGTGCGGCAATCTTCGATCCCCACTCATCAGCTCGGACTTTAACCCGGTTGTCTTCCAGCTTATTATTTTGTTATTATTATGCCGTACTTATCATAACAATATTATTACCGGTGAGCCTTGTCTTATTATTATTATTACTGTATCGCTATACTATTATATTATTACTGTATTAAGTTTCACTTCATCCGGGGGATTTCACACACCACTTTTTTTTTTATTAAATTTTACCAGCTTTAGCATATAAGGGTTAGCCAAAATATTTTTACGTATAAAAATTTGTTAATATTTATGATAAAAATTGTTTATTGTTTATTGGCTTTAATTAATCTAAAGTTTGTTTGTTAGATCCTAGATTACATTTTGAGATGATTAACTTGTTACCAAATAAGTTTGTTATTAATTTAGAATTTCTTTTATGTTGCTCGGGAGACTCAGAATTGTGCTTTTTTGTTTGTATATAAAATCTGTTCATAATAAAAAACAGTAGTCGGCGAGAACGAGTTTTAATCGAGCGGCAGTCAGCCATATGGTCAGACGCCGTCCCCGCTATGGCGACGCATCGGGCGCTGCCAAGGAACAAAGCCACACCTATGCGTAGAACTCGGCTGCCGACTACTATTCTTATTTTGAACAGAGTATATAGCATTCCTAAAATAAATGTTTTATTGTGATTTGTGATGCATGTTTGACATGAATTGCATAATTTATACTTATCCATATTTCAAATTATAATACTTATATATTTTATAAATTAAATACAAATTAATTAATAGACATTATTAATGTTCTTAATATATATAAATCATTGTTTTTCATACTTAAGAATATAATAATATTATTTAAGTAACACTGTTAAAAAAGGTATAATATAGCCTGTACTCTACCAGACAATTAAATTCAAAGAAGCTAAATCGTCTTACAGAAAATTTAATATTATTTATGCTAGGGCGCTAGGTATTAATGCATTAATGTATTAAAATTTATATTAAAAGAATATTTGATATTATACAATTATGATACAATTAGAAGATAATCTACAACAATTTAATGTTACAATCATCAAAGCCTTAACTGAAAACAATTTTTGGGAGATCCAATGTTTTTATAAATATAAATACTGGACATAAAATCATTTAATATTAAAAATGATTCTGAGCTAAGGCAGTCTGCCAGCCTATAGTACTAAGTTTAGTGTATGATATTATTGCTATTTATGTAATTTATTTTAATATTAGTACCTAATA